CAATGCATGCGACTGGTTTACTTTTTCCCTGTGCCATTCCACATTATTACAAATAACTTCATTTCTGGACATTTATGGTTTGATTTCTTTGTATGTATGGATCACTTGGGTTGTTACCAACATCTGGTGAAAATTTCATGTCATTAGCACCTCTAGTAATTTATTTACTGAGAAAAATGGTGACGTGTTCAATACTTATTTTACCCGTTGTATGTATAAATACTAGGGGTGCAACAATACATGAATCTGTATCGAACCGTTCAGTACACACTATGTACGGAACAATACAGATTTTTTAAATTTACTTCATCAGCTTGTCTTCTGAAGATGCTCTGTGTTGAAGGATCAGTGGATCTGTGTTCGACTACTCCACCTAGGCTGTATTGTCGAGCACAGATCCATTGAGAAACTTGCTGTTTCAGCAGCATTTAATTTATAAAAAACTGTACTTTTGAGGTTAAACAAATGTTCAGAATTTATTTAAATAAATTACAAGTTAAGTGTGGACATTTCTCCTTTTTGTTTTGAAAAAACATCAAACCACGACAGAAAAGTATAGAACTGTACAGAATCGTGAATTTTCCGTATCGTTGCACTCCTAATAAAGGTTATCATGTTTCTACTTTTTATAGTAAACTATATTAAAGAGCTTTTTATTCTTTTGTTTAGCCTGTCTCACACAGATTCAAGATGTTTGACTAAAACCATATTTGGTGAATAAATGTGACTTAGATAAAAAAAAAATGTTAATTTTTTTTCCTGTTTTCAGGCTCAGCGGTTGTGATGGACAGCTGGAACCTGAAACCAGTTTCTCTCAACACTCTGCTGGTTGTTTACATGTTTCTGTAAGTTCCTCCGTTTAATCAATTAATTTTTAAAAAAAATGAGGATTTTTACCTTTTTTAACTCAAATTTCCTCCTCTGGTCTTGTTTGTTTGTTTGTTTATTTTACAGAGTGTGTGTTCTGGTCTTGTCCTCCTGCTATCTGGCCTTCAGGATCGTGTCTCTGGAACAGAGACTGACGACGCTCGGGTCTTTGACCGAGTTCTCACACCACGAGTGAGTTACAGAGTTAAATCAGACATTTTCAGCTCAGAATAAAAATAATCCAGGCCGTGTCAAACTGTGAAACAACAGATCATCTTCAAGAACGTCGCAGTTTTAATAAAAATGTTACAATAATCAAGCCTGCAGCTGATAACAGCAAAGGTTAAAGATATAAACAAGTTTTAAGCCCCGCCCCCTTCTGTAAAATAACCTAAATCATAATATTCTGTGTCTAGAAGCAGCCTTCTGACTGGGAGTTCTGCTGTAAACACTGAGCTTTTCTCTGAACTGCTCACACTTAACCTGCTGAAGCTGGAAAAGGTTGGTTTTCTGTTTCTAAGTTAATTATCAGAACAAATATTCAGAATTTTTACATGATTATACATTAATACTGATGTATTTGTAAAAGAAGGAACATCAAGGAAACGTTAAATTGAATTCAAATGTGTTTGTATTTGATCATCAGTCATTTAAATAAAAAGTTATTGTCCAATTTAGTGGATAAAAAGCATCTTAAACAAATTTATTTAACTGAAGTAAGCTGTTTGTTTTCAGCATTTTTCTCTGCAAGAAAAAAATAAGTTTTTTGTTTGTTTGTTTGTTTGTTTGTTTGTTTGTTTGTTTTTCTAGGTGCAGAAGAATCTTCAGAGATTGTTGGAAGAAGCTGCCTGACAGTATGTCAAATGGAAGCATATAGTACTGTAAATATTCTGTAAAAATATATATATTGTTTTTAACAAATGTTACAAACTGAAATCCTGCCCCACAAGCTTTCAGATTCTGCTCCAGATGTTTCTTTCTCAGTTCACACAAAGAAAATTAGATTAGATTACTTTACTGTCATTGTACAGAGCACAATGAAATTACAGTTCAGAACACACATTCACAAGAAGACAGAACATGACAAACATGGGAGAACAGGTGCCCTGGGTCATGCAGCCACTGACCCCTACACAGAG